GTATTTTCCAAACTCCCGGGGGCCACTGGCTAGCAATTCCTTGTAGTGCTTCGTCATTTTGTCATCTTCGAGAGCCTTCTTGATGCGTTCGAGCAGTTCCTTGTCGTCGACAATGGAGGCGTGACCAGGTTGCATGGCTTTGATTGTGAAAAACTCGGGTTTCAGCAGTGTCTGTCCGAAGTTATCACTGCTTACCCCCTCTTCATGATCTGGCCTCCTGGACAGAGGGTCAGCTCGTAGCATTGTCTTCCCAGGGCAATGCTTCAGAACAAAGTTGAAGCGAGACATGAATAAACTCCATCGGGCTTGTCGGCGTGTGAGCTTCTGTGCTTGCCGGAAGTAGGTGAGATTGAGATGGTCTGACCAGATCTCAATCGGTTCCGGGTGTCCCTCCAGGTAGTGTCGATATTCCTCCAAGGCCCGGATGATGGCTAGAAGCTCTTTGTCGTAGATCTCATAGTTGCGCTTGTGAACATTGAGAGACTTGGAGTAGAAGGCGACCGGGTGCCATAGCTTGTCCTCTCCAAGTTGTTCCAAGACCGCTCCTGTCGCAAAGTCAGATGAGTCTGTCTCTAGCCGGTACGGAGCCGTGTCATTCGGGATCTGAAGAATTGGAGCTGTCGTAAACGCGGTTTTGAGTCCTTCGAAAGCCTGCTCCTGTTTCTCCCCCATTGCCACTGGATGTCCTTGTACGTGAGCTTAGTGAGCGGTCGTGCAATCTTGGCAAAGTCCTTGATGAAACACCGGTAGAAGTTGGCTAGTCCGAGGAAGGCTTGGACGTGTTTGACCTTGGTCGGAGTAGGCCAATCCTTGACGCCTTGCACCTTAGACTCGTCCATAGAGATGGAATCCTTTGACACAACAAGTCCGAGGAAGTGAACCGAGGGCTGCTCAAACTTGCACTTTTCAGGTTTGACGAAGAGGTCGTTGTCGCGCAGCTTCTTCAGAACCCGCTCTACCAATTGGCGATGCAGAGTGAGGTCGTCGGTGAAGATGAGGATGTTGTCGATGTAGACTACGACGTGCCCGGTTGCAATCTCTTCCTTGAGGACCTCATTCATCATTGCTTGGAATGAACTCGGTGCATTGCACAGACCGAAGGTCATAACTGTCGGCTCATATAATCCTTTGTGAGTGATGAACGCGGCCTTCTCTTCGTCTCCCTCGCGAATGCGGATGTTGTTGTAGCCCCATCTTAGGTCAAGTGAGGTGAAGATCGATGCGTGAGAGAGCCTGTCCACAAGGTCTGAAATCCGGGGGATCGGGAACTTGTCCTTTTTCGTGACTGCATTCAATGCGCGGTAGTCTTGAACTAGACGTAAACTTCCATCCTTCTTACGGACAAAGAAGACTGGGGCGGCAGTAGGACTCTTGGATGTGCGAATGTAGCCTTTGTCTTCTTGCTCCGTGATCCAAGCTTCAAGTGAGTTCCGTTCATCGAGGTTTAGCAGGTACAGTTTGGCCGGCTTGGGGAGTGAGGCCCCAGGGACTAGTTCAATTGCATGATCGTAGGGCTTTCATGTTGGCATTCTTTCCGAGGCTTTCTTGGAAAAGACGTCGCCATACTGCCGGTACTGCTCAGGTACATGGTTTGACCAGTATTCGCGATCCTGTTTGCCTTTTGTTGCAGAGTTGGTGTCCTTTTTCTCTTCTAACCTGGCTCGCATTTGACGCGCACTCAGGTCATCTGAGAAGTTCACCCAATGAATAAACTGGTCGGTGCTCTCCCAGGATTCAGGGCCGAGGTCACCGTACCGATCTTGTGCAACATCTTCCACTCGGGGAAGTTGCAAACTCCGTAGTTCTTCGTCCTGCACTGTGTGCCGGGCGCATGTTGATGGACAGCGTGTGAATTCAATGTTCCCCGCACTCCAATCGAGTTCGGGGTTGTGTTCATGTAGAAACACCATGCCGATGATCATATCTTGTCGTCCGATGTCGGTGACAAGGAACGACTGCCAAGCAAGGTGGTCTCCGATACGGAGTAAACAACGGACATAATGTGTGATTAACCCCTTCTTATTCTCGGTGGCGTCTGCGTTGAAAACTCGCACATCACGAGAGAGGCGTCGTAGGGTGAGTCCATGTTCTTGAACAAACCGGTGGTGGATAAAGCAAGAGTAGGCTCCTGAGTCGAGCAGGGCTTCTGACTGAACTTCATGCGTACCTTGAGTGAGGGAAACTTTGAGATCAAACAAATTTCGTGGGCGACGTGCTGATGCGAGATAAATAACATTCGATCGTGGAACAAAAAAGTCCTCTAGGTCTACGCTATGATTACAGAGTCGGATACTTTGGTCAGTCTTCAAAGTACCCGTTCCAGAAAATCCTCCTCAGATTCCTTGACCTCGACGATGCGTGCGGCGGTCTCGGTTTCCGGTGCCTTGCCTTTGCCTTTGCCTTTAGCGGTCTCAAACTCCTCGAGGGCCCTGCGAATGTACTCCCATTTGTCTTCATCGGCCGTGTCCATTGTGCGTACCTTGGTCGGAGCGGCTGGTTGCTTCTTCATGTCCGGGAGCTCGTAGTAGCCCGTGTACTGAGGGTTCCGACATTTCTGGCCAGTCGTAAACTTGTGCCTGCCACAGCGGAAACAGAGCTTTTTGTCGAGCCACTCGAGTTGCTCTTTAGACAGTTTTTCCGGTTTTCGCATTGCGTCGACGTCCATGGTGTTAGGATCCCGTGGGGGGCGACTAGTCGTGTGCTGCTGCGAAGACAGCTTGGCCTGATTTCCACGAGTCTCCATTTCCAGCATGAGTACCCAATCCAGGTAGTGCTCCCATTTCGTCGGAATCAGCATCGGGTTGACTTGCCGCATTGCCATCATAACCGTAAGAATCTGCGAGTTCTTGCCAACCTGGTTGTCGATGCGTCGGATGAGTTCTACATCAGCGTAACCAGACTTCGATGCGTAGCAGCGGAA